TATATATATATATATATATATATATATATATATATATATGTATCATATAATAAACTATGCAATGCACATACCTGTTGTTGAAGGCTATGAAATTGTTCTTCTGTTGTACCTAAGAGATGTTATGCTTCTTTACCAAAGAATGTTACTTTCAACTCGGTTGTGTCATCTATTAGAATACATTTAATACAGTACCCATAAAAGTTTTGTGTTATCTTAGTTTGTCCGTTTAATATATAATAAAAAGAAATTTAATTTTTGTTTATGGATATCATACTTTAAGCCTGTTTCAACATTATTTGATTAGCACATTGAGCAACGACGTTATGTTTCACCAATTTGAGATGTTTTTATTAAGCACTTCAAATATCCTCTATACCATACCTCGTCGTCAACTTTGGGTATTACTGCTTTGACTTGTGAAAAGATGTAATTGATCTACATAAATTTTGATAACGTGTTAATACTCTGTATAATAATTAGTATATGATAGAATATATATTTTCAGTTCATACCTTTTGTAGCTCGGCAATATCCATATTGGTCAACTCTTTTATTGTCTTTTATGGGGATTCCCTTTTTGTTTTTTGCAAGGATGGCAGCGGTGTAATTTGTAGTATTCCACAATTTTCAAATTTGGATTATAAAAATTTATATGTTTAGTTTCATGATATGAAGAATAATAGAAGACAATAATCTTACCACTACTTAAACTGAAGAAAAGTTTCATTCTTGGATTTCAGTATATTCTTGCTTATTTGTGTTGTTGAGATCCATATATTATATAATATTACTGTAAAGTTAAATTTAATAAAGATGCGATATTTACCTTGGAATATGGTAATACGTATGTTTGCACTCTGTCGTGTCCTTTGTAAATGTACTTGTATAAGTACTTTGCCACTTTTATACTAGAGCAAACTTCAACATTTATAGGACAACTGTAACAAAGTAGTAATTTTGAATTGTATGGGACAAACCGTGTTATTGATGATATTGTTGTCCATCATTTGTGGCTCACAGTTTAATGTTCTTTTATAAATTGAGTAGTTGTCATCTGTTATAAATATAGTCTCCAAGAAACTCCGTGAATTGTGGAACCTACATTCCCCATTGATATGGCAGTGTTTTCTTCCTTCCAGGCCCACATGGGCCATGTATCACATGCTTTATTACCCGTTCATATAATACAGGGTCTTCTTTCTATCGAGTAGCTCGGCAAAAACAATTGCATCAAGCGGACGTATTCGTATCTTATCATTAGTTGCCATAATTAGTAGCATATGTGCGTGTTGTAAACCTCTCTTTTGAAACTCAATGACACATACGTGGGCAATTACTTTCCCAAACAAAATACCTTTTATGACATACTTTTTGAGGTCCTCTAGTTTTGCTCTGAATACTCTTGTAGTCAGGTTTGGCCGATTATAGGCAATGTCACCAGGGTTCAAATAGTCCTTGATTTCAGGCCAATTAGAGTAATAAAGACATCGGGTTTTCCATATTTTCAGACTAAAGTCATTGCATCTAAATATTGTGCTTGCCTCTTGGACCCCCAATGAACAAAGCCCGTAATATAACTTGTTTGCCAACCTTATGTGCTCTGACTTCTCCATCTACAATGGCATCGTGTAGGCTTCCGGTTCTTAGCTTTTGTTGGTTGTCTTTAAAAAACCACAGGCGAGACATATCTATCTTTACATACATATCAATCAAATATTATTGTAAGAGTCATCCACTTCGCAACATGATATTTCTTTTACCAAGTCTTATTTGCAATGTATATGCATAATATTCACGGCAAATAACATGTCCTTTTCTCATGTTGGACTTATTTTCTCTTTTGAGTATCTTGGGATGCCAACCTATTTCACCATGGGGGAAAAGTAATCGATCATTACAACCTATAATTATTGATACTTTAATCATTTATCCAGATTGCCCTTGGACAACAATATTCCAACCTTGAATTTGTTTCTATCCCAACTGCAGCAACTTGTGATGCAATAGGTTCATTGTAAACTCATTGATCCAGTCTTGGGTCACAATTGATTACTAATCGACAAGGTCTTAAATCATGGTAATGAATCAAGCTTCAAAGAACTAAGACATAAGGATTATATTTCTGTAAAATCTGTGTGAGGGGTTCAATCAATGTGGGGTTCAGCATGTCGTAATGTTTGAGACAATTGCCAACTTCATTCTCTGTATCATACCTAGAAGAGTGTTCATTAGGAATTAGAGATGGAAGGCCATGTTATGCCCTTTCAGTCTTTCACTTTAAAATTATATGTGCCGCTTTTGTTTTGAGCATTTGCTTTGTAATCTCCAATAACAAATATAGTAAATTGAATGCACCATTATATCCTCGAATATTCTTTTTGAGTTGGCTTGTAAGATATGATGATTGGATAAATAATTCATAAAGTTCATTCGAAGTATCTGGGTGAGTTAAATCCACTCCACCACCTCCACAACAGAAAGCGAGAGGTTCATATTGAAACTTGACTGCATGACAATCTCGACAAATAATGGGAGGCTTGATACGGAACCCATTGTCATTGTCAATAATACATGAGGTATCTTCAGAAGTTGATGGATATATTCGATTATCTATATCCATATGCAAAGGAGTGGTAAGGGATTTTGTCATTGGAGAATTGGTTTGATAATGAAGGAATAATATTTGTCAATGGTGTATCTAAAATGAAAGAAGGATAATGAAGTTTAGAGGTTTTCTTTCTCCAAAAAATATGTAAGCAAAAAATCTGCATAAAACGACAATTTTGTCAATGGTGAATCTGAAATGAAAGCAGAATAATGAAGTTCGGAGGTTTTCTTTCTCCAAAAAATATGTGAGGAAAATGTTAATAGAACGACAATGAATTTAAGTTTGTACCATTGTCATTATCAATTATAGAGGTATCCTCAAAAGTTGATGGATATATTCCATTATCTATATCCATATTCAAAGGATCTCTTCTCTCTAAGTGGTAAGGAATATTGTCATTAGAGAATTGGTTTGATGATGAAGGAATAGTATTTAACAATTGTGTATCTAAAATGAAAGTAGGATAATGAAGTTTAGAGGTTTTTCTTTCTCCAAAAAATATGTGAGCAAACTCTGTATAGAACGACAATAACTTTGAGTTCATACCATTATCATGGTTAATAACAGAGGTACCCTCAGAAGCGGCAAACTTTGTATAGAACGACAATGATTTTGAGTTCGTACCATTGCCATTGTCAATAATAGCGGTACCCTTAGGAGCTAATTAATATATTCCATTATTTATATCCATATGCAAAAGATATCTTCTCTCTGAGTGGTAAAAGATATCAATGGAATAGAAACGTCTTGTGAAATTATAGTTTTCAAATTTTGAGATTGTCCGTATTGATTATACTGATATGTCCTTTCGATCACTCTTAGATCAGCACGGGAATGTGAATCTCTACAGTGATCTTTGTTCAAAGAACTCTTTGGAATTGAGTGGTTTCTAGGGTTACGACCCATTTCCTGTTATAACATAGTTACTATGATTTTTTAATATGTATAGAATACTAATTAGTTTAATCATACAACAAATAAGATCGAAGCCGATAAATATTGCACTACATAAAAATGAACATATGTTACTTGATTTCATGGAAGTACAACACGCACAATAATAATAAAAAAGAAAAAACAGAAAAGGAAAAGTATGTATGCATGGGGCCAATTCTATTGACATTTGGTAGTTTTATGGGTGAATGCATGGACTATTAGGGTGCGTTTAACATATGGAGTTTTTGGGAAGGGAGTATCCCACAAATTATGGAAGAATGCTCTTCCATCATTTTTGATGGAAGGGATGATGTCTTCCAAAAATGAACCCATTTTAACACTAAAAAAAGCTGTGTGCTAGGCTGCCCTTCCACTTTACAGCTTTTACACAGTAATATCAAACAAGGAATTGGGATATTTAACTTCCACTTTTGGAAACTTCCACTTTTGGAAACTTCCACTTATCAAACATGCCCTTATAGATTAAGTAATTGGTTAGTAGTTTTATCAACCGTTTTATTGAATATATTACGGCAAACAATGAGAAAATATAAAAATTCCTATTTTATTATTATCAGTACTACTACTACTGGCTCATACCTTTAGAGAGCAAAGAAATAACCGTTTGGGAGTGAAGGCATTGAAGAGAATAACTTATTAGTTGTTGTTGGGCTTCTTGATTTCCTGCAATTGGGAAGATGTTCAAAAACAAAATGAGAGAAGCAATGAAAATTATATCATTTTAAAATTTATAATTAGTCCACCTTAGAGATAGAAAATGAGAGAGAGGAGAGAGAGAGAGAGAGAGAGAGAGAGAGAGAGAGAGAAAGAGGTAGGTAAAAGAGATAATGAAAGGCTCTTTCAAAAAAAATAAATAAACAATTTACTGATAATAGATCAAGTTTGACCCATGATTGCCAAGATGCATCCCGGCTTTCAATAACCATTGAGCCCCTCAAGAATCTTCAAGTTGGCCCATTTCAATGATTAAGGAGCACCACCATGAGCTCCTTCCAAATTAATCCACCTGTTATCTCTCTTTCTATTCCCTCATGTTGGGCAAGCACCTCTATCAACAAAATGTAATAACTAAACGTGGATCAAGTTTGACCCGTGATTGCCAAGACGAATTTCGACTAATATAACAAAACAAAATATAAGGACTCATGCACAAATTCCTAATGTTCTGATATAGTAGATGTTACATTAAAATTATATAACTGCAAACATAAATCACAACATAAGATTGTGATTTATGTTTGTACTTATATAATTTTAATGTAACATCTACTATATCAAAACATTAGGAATTTATACATGATTGAAGGCGTATAAGATCAAACATAAATCAAACCGTTTTTACGAATTATACATGTTACATGTTACATTAGGAATTTATACATGTTACGTTAAAATTACATAGGTACAAACATAAATCAAACTGTTTTTAGGAATTAGAAAGCGCTTAAGATCAACTGAGTCCTGACCATAGTTAACGGAACCTTGTGGGTAGGGTGATGATCCCGCTCGGGAACCTGGATCCCATGCTTCTTGCAAGGGATGTTGTAGGGACCCCGGTTTTTCGATTTTATGATCTCACTCTCGAAAAAATGGGACCATATTTCATCCCTCAATTGAATCCAGTTCCATATCGAAATAGATCCCCGCTCCCATCAAGGTTTTGGTACATTAAAATTTTGGGTTCCACGTTTGTGGGATCTACTTTCATTAACGGATACCAGGTTAGAGATTTTCATTGTCCCAAGTTCCTATTATTTAGGCATCATAAATTTCATGATGGTAAAATCCAGTCCCTTTTCTGCATAGCACGAAGTTCCAATTGTGAGAATATATATTTCATTTAAAATCTTATTTTTATGATGTCCTATTGTTTTAGATTCATAAATCACAATGATGAATCCATAGATATACTTTTACTTCTAGGGCTCTTTGTATGACTCCAATGTCTTGCAAAACAAGTACAAAGGAAAAAGAAAACAGTGGCTAGCAAGACTTATAGAACTACATAATTAATCCATTGTTATTCATCCAAAAATAAATAAATTCATTGTTAAGCGCGGGGGGCACTTGATAAGGGATCTTGGTACTTGCAGACCTACGGCCAATCAGATGAGGATCTTGAGTCCTATACTTGAAGAATCTCGATGTTAGAACAAGAGGAACCTAATCCTCGATTCCTTAACCAAGGGAACTCGTACTAGCTCTACTTGACAACCTCATTATATGTATAGTGGAGCTTAGATTCCTGCTTGTCAAAACCTCAAACCTATTGACATGGGATCTCGCTCTCATAAACTTAAGGATCTCGGTCCCAATCTTGTTAATTGTACGGACACCAATCCTAACCTTAGGGAGCTTTTACTATATGGCGGTTCAGCGATTCCCAAACCGATCCCGCTCCAATCCCGCTCTTGGTCTAACAACTATGGTCCTGACCTAAGTTTAAATTATTTGTATATATAGGTATATGCGCAAATGTTACAATAACAATCATGAATCAAAAAGAAGACCTCTTATGTGACCATTTCTATAAAAATGTATGCATGCGTCCATGGCTTCATGAATATTAAAAATATGCAGCGCAGACATCGTAAACATAAACAAGGTGTTAGTAAATAAACACATAAATGGTTATAATGCCCAGCCAAATCATTTATACTGTCACATAGAGTGTCGGTACTGCAGCCTTGAATACCCTAACCACTAAGCCATGATCCAAACCCCAGAATTTTGGAAATGATACATAAGAGTGCCTTCTATAGAATTTGCTAATTCAAATTAGCGGACTAAGGTCTCTTCCTCCGAGACATATTTTGCAACCCCAAAATAAAAACCTGCATCGACACATACACTACTGGCGCATGAAAATCACTGACGTGATTCATATTATACAAATGCGTATGGAGCACTATTGTGAGCCTGTTATCTCTCTTTCTACTCCCTCATGCTGGGCAGGCCCCTCCATCAACTAACTGAAATCTCTCTCTCTCTCTCTCTCTCTCTCTCTCTCTCTCTCTCTCTCTCTCTCTCTCTCTCTCTCTCTCTCTCTCTCTCTCTCTCTCTCTCGCTCTTAAAAAGAATTCCATTGCATACTTGAGAGCAACAGCCCAATAATGATGCTTTTTCCTCTTTGGCAACAAAGTAGTGGTAGATTTTGAAGAGGTAATGATGCTTTTTCCTCTTTGGCAACAAAGTAATGGTAGATTTTGAAGAGGGATCATATATATTTAACTGTATAATTGTAAGTAATCACGAGTAAAGGTCCATCTCTGTTAAAAAGGTCTTTAGGCAAGCTTTAAGCCTAGGGATTGTGCATCATTCATGGCTTGAAATAAAGTTTCTCTAAGTTCGTGGACATGTTGTTGCAATGAATGGAATATAGGTTCTTTCAATCAAAAAACAACAAAAAAAACAAAAACAATGCGATGAAGGGAATGTGGGTTCTGGAATACGGAAGTTTCCCTAAGTACTCTCTCTCTACAACCCATAAAGTTCCTCTCAAAAAATAAAAAAACAATGCGATGAATGGAATGTGTTCATAAATATGAAAGTTTCCCTAAGTACTCTCTCTCTACAACCATAAAGATTCTTTAAAAAAAAAAAGAAAAAACCAAACACTTAAAGAGGCACTTCTATAATTTTTCATAATGGAAATTTAAAATCAAGTAAAAGCAAGACAAAAAAATATCTAATGAAAACACAAAATTTAATGAAACTGAACCAATATCCGATAAGAACACAAAATTTAACAAAACTGAACCACTATAACAAAACTATAAAGCATGACGATGAGCATTACCTCAAAGAAGCCAAAATCGGGTAAAAGCTTGACGAAACTATGTAATGCAAATAAAAATTTTAATAAAACTAAACCAATATCTGATGAAAACACAAAATTTAATGAAATTGAACAATATAAGGAAACTATAAAGCATGATGAGGAACAATTACCTCAAAGAAGAATATGAGTACTCCCATACCTTGAGGGGCTTGTGTTAAATAAAAATATGTCCCCCCTTAAAGGTGGGTTCACGTGAGATACTTTGTTAAGATATATATCTCTCTTCCCATAAAGATGTGTATATCTCTCTCTAATTAGATATAAAATATGATATATTTTGACAAGTACATTCTATTTAAAGCAAAGAAATTTATAATAGAATCGTTTATTTTATTTTTGTTTATATTTGGTATGATTAGTATAATAGAATCGTTTATTTTATTTTTGTTTCTATTTGGTCTGATTAGTATGTTCAGATATATCTCTCTCTTTCCTTAAAGATGTGTCTCCTTAAAAATAGAATTCTCTCTCTCTCTTCCTTTGAATATATGTATGTTTAAATATATCTCTCTTCACTTAAAGATGTGTTCCCATAAAAATATAATGTTTAGATAAAGATAAATATAACTCTTACATATCTCTCTTCCCTTAAAGATGTGTCCCCTTAAAAATATAATGTTTAGATAAAGATAAATATAACTCTCACTCTCTCTTTAGCACGTGACTCTCTCTCTCTCTTAGTTATCACTCTCCCATTAAAGATATGCCCCCTTAAAAATAGAAAGTTTAGATAAAGATGAATAGAACTTTCTTTCTCTTGCTCGCTCTCAAAAAAAACTGTAATTCTGGTGACCAAAGAGAGAGAGAGAGAGAAATTCCTATTCATCTTTATCTAGACATTCTATTTTTAAGAGGACATATCTTTAAGGAAAGAGAGAGATAGCTACGAAAGAGAGTCACGTGCTAAAAGAGAGAGAGAGAGTCATACTCATCTTTATTTAAACATTCTATTTTTAAAGGGACACATCTTTAAGGGGAAGGTATAATACATTCAAAGAAAGAGAGAGAAAAATCTATTTTTAAGGGGATATATCTTTAAGGGAAAAGAGAGATACATCTAAACATACTAATCAAACCAAATAATAAACAAAACTAAAATATTCGATTATATTATAATGTCATTGCTTTAAATAGAATGTGCTTATCTAAACATACCATATTTTATATCTAATTAAAGACAGATGTACACATCTTTAAGGAAAGAGGATATATATATAAATATATTATATTTAAAGGAAGAAAGAGAGAGAGAGAGTATCCCAAGTGAACCCACCTTTAAGGGGGACATAATCTTATTTAACACAAGCCTTCAAGGTACGTCACGAAACATATTCTTCTTTGAGGTAATGGTTTCCCATCATGTTTTTGGTTTCTTTATATTGGTTTAGTTTCATTAAATTTTATGTTTTCATGAGATATTAGTTCAGTTTTGTTAAATTTTGTGTTTAAATTACATAGTTTCGTCAAGCTTTTACTTGATTTTGGACTTCCTTGAGGTAATGGTTCCCTGTCATGCTTTATGGTTTTGTTATATCAGTTCAATTTTGTTAAATTTTGTGTTTTTATCATATCTTGGTGCAGTTTCATTAAATTTTATGTTTTCATTAGATAGTTTCATAATGCTTTTACTTGATTTTGAATTTCTAATATGCAAAGTCATAAAAGTGCTTCGTTAAGTGTTGGGGTTTAGAGTACTTAGGGGAAACTTTAATATTCAAGAACGCATATTCCATTCGTCGCATTGTTTTTTTTTTTTCTTTTTGAGAGAAACTTTATGGGTTATGAGAGAGTACTTAAGAAAAATTTCATATTCCAGAACTCA